ATTGTCTCTATTTATCAATCAAAATACGTTTCGGTGTATTTTTCCACCATCATCAGTTTTTATGTGTAGCGTTGTTGCTGCTTTAAGCCTTGGCAGAAATGCATGCGGCATTGGCGCAGTGCTACGCACATGACTTTGTGCGCCAACCCAACGTACCGGCGAAGTAACTCAGTTCCGTTGCTGGGAAAATGTTGTTGACTTTTTTACTTGTTTTTAGATTTATTTTAAGAGCCCTTTATTAATAATATTTTTAAAATTTCTTAAAAATTTCAGAATTTTTCAGTTTTAGTCAAGTTACTCATTCTTCTAAATGCTCAAGTTTCACTTAAAAATGCTACCAAATTTAACGTATCTTTCGTGAAAATTCATTTACTGTCTCTATTTATCAATCAAAATACGTCTCGGTGTATTTTTCCATCATCATCAGTTTTTATGTGTAGCGTTGTTGCTGCTTTAAGCCTTGGCAAAAATGCATGCAAAAGTGCAAACCCAGGAATGAATTTGATTTGGAATTAAAACGAATTTCCTCTCTAAGTTTCGCTTTTTGAAGAAAGTCTCTACTAAATTTTATAGACAATCGAATAATTTTTTTTGTTCGAATGGGCCGTTATCTCGAAAGTGCAATTCTTTGATCACCCGTCCATCCTCTTCGCGTAGCGCCAATATTCAAATTATAATTCAAATACATAATAAACATATTTAACACTGTTTATAACAATCGATTAGAATTATGGTCAAAATCCTTCTTGCGTTTATTTTTTCATTGCTTTCACCTTTTTATTTCGCAAAATCAATAAGAAAACGCTGGTATTGGTGAATAAAAGCCCTTGAGAAAGTTACCTGATTAAAAAAAAGTCATACTTTTTTTATGAAACAGATGGATGCGTGGGGCAAAAATGATCTAAAGAGAAGATCCACATTCAATCTGCACTTCCCATTAAGAGCGCTGGAATCAGTCGCTTTATTTTTGCACGAATTCTCGGATGAGCTTTTTGCTGATTTTTTTAGAGCTTGTCCTGACTGAATTTCTTCTACTTGTAACTCACTCGTTCTTGCAAAACGTCATTATTTTCCACTTTTTGGCCTAAAAGCCAGGAAAACTCACCAGTTTCAACCAATAACCGCAAAAGCTCAACATATCCTGATAAACAAAAAATGCATTTGAACTGTAGAACTGCTTGTCTTCGTTTCAGGTCCACAAGCCAAAGAAGCGCTTGGAGTCTCCGGCAGTTTATAGAGATGCTCCCGGTTTGCCTGATCCTTTCATGGAACAAATCGATGACGACAAGCCGCCACCACCACCCCAACATATGTCTTTAGCCTATGAAGAGTCTTTGGAAAGTGGATATTCCACCCCAAATTCGCGTACACGCCGGGTAATTCGTGAAATCATTGTGTAGAACATCGGATTGCCAGTGAATGGAAGTGGTTGGTGGATTCGTGTTTAACAGGGTTAAAAGTGACAGAGACGATGAGAGGAAAAAATGAACAATTTGACTACAATTACACGTTATATGTGTAATTTTTTTATCTACTTATATTGTAGAATAATCAAGCTTGCATTTGGAACATTTTGTCAAATTCCATTCAAATTGTCTCATTTGTATTTATTAATTAATATGATGTTCTTGATGCAAGTGAACTCACTAAACAAACTATCGGCCCAAATTACTTACATGCGACGAATTTGAATGAAATAAATTGTGATTTTTTCATTGCAATACTTATTGTTGTGCTTTTATCCTTATTGTTTAGATTGTGTCAAGTACTTAAGCCGTTCGTTTTTGTCAATGTACAAATGTTTAGATTTTAAGTTTTTCATGTTGTATGGTAGTGCAAATTCAATTATTGTAATATTATTTCGGCTGCAAATTTTAAGTTGAAGTCCTCCCAGCAGAATTGATTCAAATTGAAACCGAAGTGATTCGAATGAAACATTCTATTGGGCCAAAATCGTTCGATGTTGATAAATAATTGTGCCTCCCTGATTGCAAGTTTAGAATATCACTTTTTATTATTGTGCCAAACACTTGACGTGTCCTCAGTTTTATTGTCTACTGTTGGATGGCTAACAGTTATCCAATGCGCTTAAGAATGGCAGGAGTAGTAGATTTTCATTATGAATAAACATTTCCGATCTCAGAAATGAAATGTAATCTTTTCAGCGGCTTTTCCACTGCTAGAAGCTCAGCTAAAGGCCGCTTAAGAGACTTGTTAGAATTAATTTTTATATTTTTTTATATTAGTGTATAAATGCGCAAAATGATGATATTGAGAGTTTTATTTATTAATTAAGTACCTTTATTTTTGTATATTTAAATGTTGTAAATAGGACACAAAAGACTATTATTATTACGATAAATCTTAGTTGATAAGCTCGAATTTTACTTTAAGATTGTACATACAAAAATTACACTTTTAAGCACGATTGTTTTTAGTTTTTGTAAATAAATGTCTATGTTTACGAGGAGATTTGCGGGTTCATTAGCGACAGAATGCACGGCTTCCCAATTAAAATGTTCCTTGTTTCTATGAATAAAAATGTATTTCCAAGTAAAGACTAAATAATACTCACACAGTGAGTATTTTCCAACATTTGTTGCGTTAGTTGTTTACTGGATCACACTGGATTTATTTTTTCTAGACTATACAGCAAACGTAACTCACATGTATCAGTTAACATGGTTTTTAGCGAATATACACTACCGCTGTAGTCTTCAGATTACTCATAAAAAGGTTGGCCCAGTCTTCAAACACTCTATAAATAGTGAAAATGAGGCAACTACTGTACTACTTCAGCTCTATAAACTCTTAAAATGACAACAAAGTTCCAACTTAGATCTGAAAATGCGTATAAAAAACGTTACTTACAAATTTAAAACAATTTTAAGCGTATTCGATTTAAATTACAAAAACAATTACGTATTCTATGTTTCGGCTGCTCTAAAGAGTGTCGTGGCTTCCTTCATGTGTCCTCTTCGAATCACTCAACTTGGCTTTGGCCCTTTTAAATTTCACTTTCAGTCCGTTTTCCCGTTCTTTTATCGAATTGGCTTTGTGGTACTCTTTGCGTTTCAATTCCTTCGTTCTGTTCAAAAGAGAAAAAAATTGGAAAAGTAAGTAATGATAATTATCAAATGGGTACAATAAGGGAATTTTGATTCAATTTTTTTAAGCGTATTTTCACGATTTAAGATAAATACGCATTATTAACTCCAATTAACAGAGAAAATGTAGGTAGCTCTATTTGCGAGACAGTTTGCAAACTTAAAGCAGTTTTCTTCAATTTTTAGCAAATTTGCGGATTGTGCAGCATTTTTTTTTAATTCGTTCCCTACGATAAAGGAGAAAAGTTTTCTTTCAATGGAGAAACTCTGAAAACGGAAATAGGTTCCACATTTGGCACTTTTTTCTTAGACTATTGGCATTTTTTTTACATCAATGTGTCTACGACGGACTTGAGTGCGAATTGTACCACACATTTTTGAAAAATGTATTGAAAAAACGACATGAAGTTAACGCTATTTAATAGAGATAACATTTTTTTGGTGGAAAAAGTAGCAAAAAACATTGCAAATAGCAATCCATTAGAGCAGTTTAAGATTTTTATTCAATTTGTCATACATTAGCATAATTTTCGTAACTTTTTCTACCATTTTTGGCAAAGTTTATAATAAAGTATTGGCGTCGTTAAGGCAACTTTTTTTTAAATTTTGTCTCTCGCTTCTCAGATCAGATACAATTTTAAAAATTAATGTCATTTCATAGAGAAATGTAGTCGAATTTTAGACCAAGAAACAGGTATTGCCGTCTTTAAAACCGATTGTGGAACCATTTTTTCAAAATAATGTGGCGGACTCCTGAATTTAAGTAGAAATTTGTCGTTTTCGCCGTTGAATAGAGAATAGGTAATTCTATTAATATGGAAATTTGCAAATTTATTGGATTTTGCGGCAATGCTTGGCAATTTTTTAATATGAGCTTGTTAGCAAAATTTTACATAATGCAAATTGCGTAATCTTTTATCCAGAAGAACATTCATCGAGTAAATAAATATTTCTTTTGCGGATTTCGAATTTCCAATCTTTATATGCAAATAAAATTAAAAAAACTGTTCTTAAGAGCTTCTAAAAATGTCTACAAAATATCCCTCCCCAATGGTTCACGTAAATTCAAAATCTGCTAAGATAAACTAAGTTCTTACCTGGCGACATGCATTCTCATAAGTTCCTTTTTATAAATATCCTTAAAATCCAGACAGAACGGCAGCCACATCTCGAAAAAGTTCGCAGGAGTGACAGCCTCCAACGGGCCACTCTTTGGCTTGAACAGGTACACTTTCATCGTAGCTATGAAAACTTTATGACACTCGTCCAGTTTCTCATACTCAACATCGTACTGGATCCGGGACTTTTCCAGAAACGTTTCCATTTTATCTTTAAACGGTTGCAAATTATCCGGAGTGGAATTGGCGATGATTTTCTCCGTCCGTTTGGCGCACTCTAAAACACCGAACTGCTCGCTGAAGAAACCCAAATAATCCGCGCAAACCAAACAAACCATTTAGCTTTGATTTGAGTTGATTGAGTTCAGTTTTCATGGCATCGAAATCGAGAGTCATCGCTCGACGGACATCTCCAGGCTCGGGAACAGGCAAGGGAAGTTGCCGTTCATCTTCTACAGTGATTTTTTTTGCGTACGTACTGACCACAAAGTGCAACAAAGTCACTCCTGCTTGGGCACCTTAAAGATACATAAGTTTTTCAGTGCCATTGTGTGAAAGCTTAATTTGCAAACGAATTGAAAGACAGAAAGCAGGTTTTGAGTAGAATGTTTAGATAAGGTTTTTCTAACAATGGCCCCCCAAATCTCCGGATTTAGCACCAGGTGGTGATTTCTAATGGAAACATTTGCAGCAACTTGCACAATAGGAGCGGTTGCGGTTGGGATGATTTAAAACAGTTTCTGCACTCACCTTTAACGTCTCTTAGACGGGACAAAACATCCAGCCCAAATCCATCAGCCTGGCCTCGGGCCACATTTCCCCCATTCATATAATTTCCCAATGTGAGTACCTAAAATATGGCTTAATTAGTAGAAAGAATTAACAAGCTTTGCTTTTATTTGGACTTACCAAAGCCAACACTCGTCTCAGCTCCGGGCTTTTGGTGAGAAACTCGCAGGTGCTCTGGAAATTGTCTAGAGTATGGCTGATTGTCGTAATGGAGTCTTCAAATTCCACCTGGAATCATCAAATATATATATAAATAATCTTTATTTCCTATAGAAAAAGGCTATCGACCCAATCGGTCTTTCTACCCTTGAGTAGTACATATGGGTCTTAGCCTAGCTAATTCTAAAATTAAGTCCTATTCCTAACACTGGTATCCTAAACCCAATCAGTGATAAAAAAAAATCCTGGCCCACAAAACAAACAGGTCTTAGTCGTTAGTTCAGTTGCATTTGTAGGTGTTCTAGTAAAGTATCTGTTGGGGTACGAAAACGGGAATGTTTTG